ATTGTATTTATGTGAAACAGTGAATTACAAAAATGTACTGTATTTCACCACCCACACCACAAATACTGACATGCAAACTCAGGACAGGCCATAGACTTACTTTAGGACCTCCCAAACCTCCCAACCATCACTCAAGAGGGTTTAAAAACCTTGGCCCTCTCAGCAACTGAACGCATAATGGAGTGGACAAAGGGAAAGAAAGGAAGAGAAAAGAGGAGGTGCAAAATGTGCGTGCTGAGTCTACTTCCCAGAGGACGCAGCAGCACATTCTCCTGCAGTATGGTGTAACTAATCGGCTCTGCTGAAAATACTCCTTACTGTCTATAAGAGAGTGAATGGAGATTTACTACATGGGGACAGAGACTCAGGCAGTTCATAAAGCAGTCATTTCTACAGAATGGCCTCGGCCCACTGCTCATATGTCACTGACAGGTGGTGGTGCCTGGACAAAGGGTTTAATTCCATTCTGCTTTATTAGGATGGATGGGAATCATCATACCATCATCAAAGGAAAGGAAGGGGCGTGGGGAGATGAGACAGCAGAAAATGCATAATGTAATCAACATGTTAAGTAACAATGTTACCAACACTTTTGCTAAAGTTGTTGACATGATAGAATGATAAAATGATCATCTTGGCAAAGCCATCAGATTAATACTAAATCCCTCTCTCATGCCAGTGCATGCACTACAGGCATTCACTGAGCTTCCCAAATCTCAGTCAGTGTCTGGAAGTCAGGACGTCATTGGCTCCGACAGTAGCCAATCAGCTTTGCAGTAACATGTGGCGTTCCTGTGTAGTGGGGGGGACTGGGTGTGTTTAGGTAGACAGACAAACTGTACTGTACCATTCTACCACATTTGAAATCCCCAGAGGTGTCCTGAGGTCCTATTTAATAGAGCCCAGTAAGGCACACCAGGGGTGGCAGTGAACCAAGGACTTCCAGGGGGAAATAACATATTAACTATGGGAGGAGAGGTGGGGAAAATAGTCACTGTTTCTGGATCAGTGAGGAACTCTAGACAGGTTTGAATGTTGTATGAACGTGGACACTAAAGGAAGAACAATAGTATTTATACCAATAATAATTCAATAATTAAGGGCGAATGTTGTGATAACATATTAACATAGTAATAATGTAATTTTCACAACATGCATTTGATTTCAACGTAATCATTGACTAAAGTAAATCAGATTTTCTGTGTAGCAGAACTTAGGACTTATCTTTGTGCATTCCTTGCTACATTAAAAGTGTCCTAGTGGATGGAGTTGTATCTTGTGGTTAGGATCTTATTTAAGACCATTTTAAAGGCCTGTGAAGAAGGTTGTGCCAAATGTGTTCCTACACTCCTATTTCTAACACACAGCCACCCTAATTACAACACAACGTTAAACCAACCTAGCCCTGCAGCGACCAAAGAGAACACTGAAACGTTTCACTCCACAAAATCCTCCCTCACGTGAATACTATATAACCATATGGAAACATACACTGAGTGTACAAAACATTCCTAATATTGAGTTGCACCCCCTTTTGCCCTCAGAACAGCTTCAGTTTGTCGGTGCATGGACTCTACAAGGTGTTGAAAGCGTTCCACAGGGATGCTGGCCGATGTTGACTCCAATGCTTCCCACAGTTGTGCCAAGTTGGCTGGATGTCCTTTGGGTGGTGGACCATTCTTGATACACACGGGAAACTGTTGAGCGTGAAAAACCAAGCAGCGTTGCAGTTCTTGACACTCTCAAACCGGTGAGCATGGCACCTACTACCATACCCCATTCAAAGGCACTTAAATATTTTGTCTTGCCCATTCACCCTCTGAATGGCACACACACAATTCATGTCTCAATTGTCTCAAGGCTTAGAAATCCTTCTTTAATCCCCCCCCATCAATAAGGGATCATAGCTTTCACTTGGATTCACCTGGTCAGTCTATGTCATGGAAAGAGGTGTTCATAATGTTTTGTACATTCAGTGTATAGGAATGTCCACCGATAATACCCCCGGGTAATATGTTGTTGTCAGCAGTTTTGTGCGTTGGAGACTGAAACTGCTGAGGCAACTGCAGAGGCTAATGTCAGTCATGTCTGTCCTGTCATTCCAGGAGTGCCCTTTGCCTTGTGAGCGATAGCCTGAGAAAGGGCAGCCATCTTATCAATGTTTGGAGTAGAGGATAGAAGCCCCCATAGGACAGTATGCAGACTATGGAGCTGGGACATTTGCCAGGGTAAAATAGTATACATTCAAAAGTATGCATATCTACACACACATACATAAACAGCTGTTATGTTGATATTAGCATAGAATATCAAAAAAGGTTCCACATTATATACAAATACTATTTGTATGGTGTTTATCAGAAACAGAGAGTTGTGTGTGTTACTGACAAAGCTCTTTGTCCTTCTCTGACCAGGTCTATAGAGAACTAAAAGCCAGGCCTGGCCGAGACAACAACCATAACCTCCTGTTTAGTGGAGAGTGGTTTGGTCAGCCATCCTCCGCTACAATCATCCCCGTACATACACTGCCCATAGTAGCCCGTCCTGTTGTGTTGTGTGAGCCTGCTGGGCCTTGAGGCTTCACTCTCTCTGGCCTATCTCAAGTGGATGCTGTGTCAGGGCCGGGAACACAGATAAGCCTGCTGTTCTTAGTCATCTCTAGAGCTGCTGCTGCGCTTCACTGGCCTAGAGGGGGACGGAGGGGCCATCTGATAGGGGGAAGGCTGAGATTAAGCCAGGCTGGCCTGTATGTCCACGGGATTAACTCCTATCACAGACACTGTTCTCTCCCTGCTGTTCCCATCCAGTTCTGGAGCAGCCAGTATAGTGCTGTCTATGTACAGTATATCTATACTACACAGGAGGCTGTTGAAGGGAGGACGGCTCATATTAATGGCTGGAATGGAGTAAATGGTATGGTATCAAACACATGGAAACCATGTGTTTGATGAGTTCGATTACCATTCCATTTATTCCATTCCAGCCATTACTATGAGTCCGTCCTCCCCAATTAAGGTGCCACCAACCTCCTGTGCTACACTATTGGTGCTATTCATTCAAACAGGGAGGATCCTGGGTCTCTGGGACAGCTAAAACTATTTTTATTTTGGCCCTGCAGGAATGCACATACAGTACACATATGAAATGTCTGGATTTGTGTAGCCTACTCAACAAAAATATTGTTGATTTGTCATGGAAAAATGGCTACCAGTTCTGATTTATTAGGGAGCAAAATTTGAAGCTGCTATATATTACTCAAAGTGCCTGTGTGTGTTTTTGAGAGGTGCTGACATCAGATGTCTTGGCAATGATAAATTATGTTAACTGTAAATACCAATCAGCCGTCTTCATTCACCTCAAGTAAATTCACAAACAGAAATGGAAGCCACAAATCTTCATTCTACTAGTAGAGCGGCCCTACAGATAACTTTGACAATAGATAACCTATATGATAGCATGTAAACATATCAAACAACCGCTTGCATCTAACCACATCCAGATGGAATGTATGCCTCTCCAGTCACGTCAGCTCACTTGCTCTGTTGTACAATGGCAGGACTTCAAAACACACTGTATCTCTGACCCTGTGTGTTCAGGCTTATGGTAGGCTACATATACACTGAGTGTACAAAACATTAGGAACGCCTGTTCTTTCCATGACATACACTGACCAGGTGAATCTAAGTGAAAGCTATGATCCCTTATTGATCCTCACTTGTTAAATCCACTTCAATCAGTGCCTTTGATCTGGGTATGGTAGTAGGTGCCAGGCGCACCAATTTGAGTGTGTCAAGAACTTCAACACTGCTGAGTTTTTCACGCTCAACAGTTTCCCGTGTGTATCAAGAACAGGCCACCAATCAAAGGACATCCAGCCAACTGGACACAACTGTGGGACGTATTGGAGTCAACATGGGCCAGCATCCCTACTGACAGACTTGCCGTCTCTCATTCTGTTTTCAAAGGGAGAGACCACAGCAAATAGAATAATTTGCTTGCAGTGTCCTGAGTGGCGCAGTGGTCTAAGGCACTGCATCGCAGTGCTAACTGTGCCACTAGAGATCCTGGTTCGAATCCAGGCTCTGTCGCAGCTGGCCGCGACCGGGAGACTCATGGGCGGCGCACAATTGGCCAAGCGTCGTCCAGGGTAGGGGAGGGAATGGCCGGCAGGGATGTAGCTCAGTTGATAGAGCATGGCGTTTGCAACGGCAGGGTTGTGGGTTCGATTCCCACGGGGGGCCAGTATAAAAAAATATATGTGTTCACTAACTGTAAGTCGCTCTGGATAAGAGCATCTGCTAGGGCGGCAGGTAGCTTAGTGGTTAAGAGCGTTGTGCCAGTAACCGAAAGGTCGCTGGTTCTAATCCCCGAGCCGACTAGGTGAAAAATCTGTCGATGTGCCCTTGAGCAAGGCACTTAACCCTAATTGCTCCTGTAAGTCGCTCTGGATAAGAGCGTCTGCTAAATGACCAATTATTTATTTATTTTTGCTAAATATGTAAAATGTGGTATTTGTTCAGCTTCACACATTCGGTACATGAATGCAAAGTTCAGTGTTGGCTATAACAAAAACACAGATTGATGAAAAATAAAGTATGTTTTTGGCAAATTTAAGTTATCTAATGTAGGTTTTAGTATGTTCAATTAATAAAATGAATACTTTTGCTGTATATTTAGAGTTCATAGAAAGTAGGGAAAAAACTGAAAATATATATAGTCAAAGTATTATAATCACACATCTTTAGTTTAACATTACTTTATAAATACTGAAGATAACATTTCATTTAACATTTAAAAAAACTTTACTAATCATATTGAAAATCAGAGCCAAAAACCAGTTTTGATCATGTACATTACTTGTCCTTGTTCTACAAAGACCTTTCCCAAATATGTCCTGTTTAGTATGTAGAATACAGCCATCTTATTGCTGAGCGATGGGAGGCAATTTAGGGAAGCGAGACTTTGGATTTGGGGCTCTTTGCTGACAGAAACATTCCCTTAATTCTCCTTATTCTAGTGAACGTCAATCTCCACCACACTCTTGGCCCGGAGTCAATCTCTCAACACCCTCTGGTTGCTCTGCTGTCAGCTGGGTCAAATGAATACAGATCTCTTAAAAACATCTTGGTAGTGACACGAGTTTCCTCTGGCAGACTTCTCTCTAGGCTTTACTGCCACCTTGTGGTGAAGAATGGCAGAAGGTTATTCTTGCACAATGTGGTTGACCTCCTCAATGCTCCACTGCCCAGAGAAAACAGGAATGTATTTCACAGTGCTCATTAGGCAGCTTTGTATTATCTACTGTCATGGGTTTTTCAGTTCCTCCTAAGACTTTCTAATGAAAGAATGACACAGTCACAGATAACACAATCACATTTGTATTAGCTTTGAATTAATAATATACATAAACAAATATCATATTAAGAGTGCAATCCATCTGGATAGGTTATGATGCACATATATTTGTAAAAGACAGGTTTCAATCACTCTAGCCCTGTTATGCAAAATCTCTGCATCAAGGCTAGGGGCACATAAAATATGTGGACACGGATGGGGATCTTATCATGACACCGCACTGCTGTATCATACATGGAGCTCTGCAAGAACCCTTTGGGTTAGGGTGCATCTCAATAGTCTAAAATGTCTTCCTCTGCTTGTTTCTCTTCATACATCTGCACTGACCGACCAGTACAAATGGAGAGGAGTCATGAGAGAAAGGCAACTTTAGGCTATTGAGATCCACCCTTGGAGTTTCTCCATAACCCCCCGATGGAGGTTTAAAAAAAGCCTCCATCCATTGTCACCTCTCTCTGCCAATCCTTCCATCTCTCACCTATTCATCACCCCCTCCCTCACAGTCTCTTCTTCATCTTGCCCTTCTTGTGGACACCACGGCCAAAGCCTGACTTCTTTTGATCGTTGAGGCGCTGCTTGCCCTTGCCCCGGAGCTTCTTCAAGCCTCCGCTCTGCAGGAACCTCTGTTTCTCTGTTTTTCTGCGCTGCTTCAGGATCTGATCTCTGCTCTTCAGCTCCGAGCGCGGGCCCCGGGAGCCACCGCTACCATCCCTTTGCTGCCCTGGGGGCCCCAGGGGTTGGGAGTTGGGGCCCCTGGATGGGCCACCTCGGCCCCTTCCAGGCCTGCCTCGACCTGGAAGAGAGAGAGGGAGTGAGACAGGATTAGAGAAGAGAAGGGCCTAGGCAGCATTTCAATTGTTCATTATTTTGACATGCTGTTTTGCAAATACATCAAACTGGATATTGCTGTGAGTGTTTCGGAATAGATCTTAGGTAGTAGAGCCCTAAGACTGGAGCTTGGAGAATGTCCAAAAGGGATGTCAGCTTTACTTAAGAGACATTAGTCATTCATCAGACCCATCACAAACAACCGATCAAAACTCTAGCTACAGCCCTGTGATGATTTGCACTCCTACCTCCTCCACCCCTCCTTCCTCTGCCTCCGGTCTCTCCATCCGAATCTCCACCCCCTCCATCGTCCACCTTGTACTTCTTCTTCCACTCCTCATAGCTGCGACACACAGGGTCAAGGAGATAGAACATCCTAATAACATTGCAGTGGTACAATTAAAGAGTGAGGACTTATGCACAATAAGCTGAGGGTGTTGGAATTTCCCTCCTAGACCTTATTAAAAGCTTTCATCAGTAAAGATCAGTTTGACATGACAAAAAGGATACAAGTTCTTCTTATTCTTGTTGTTGATCATCTGTCCGCTCTCCGTTCTCTTCTTCTTCTTCTGGTCTGCCTCCTTTCCTGTTTCTTTGACAAAGCGCTTTCTCTTGCGATCCCTGCAGAGAGATGGAGGAGACGTCAAGTGAGGTCGCATGGGGTGTGTGTGTGTGTGTCTGTATGTGCCGTGGTGTTCTCTCTTACCACTTCATCATGTGTTTGTGCTGGTTGAGTCTGTCTCCTTCGTCTCCCATCAGGTCCAGAACAGCAGTAGAAGCCTGCTGCTCAAACGTTGTGCCCTCCGCTCCCAGGCTCAGTCTGAAAACACACACCCAGAGTCAATATCACTATGGCTCTGTTGTACCATTAGCCCACATTCACAGAATGACTATTTTGGTCTTGTTTTTAAAGCCGTTAAAGCGGAGTGGACTGTGTAGTCAGCCTTTCCCATACCCTCTTTCAGAGTTGAAGTCCTTGGGTCTATAGGGGATGTAGTTCTCCTCATCGCGGCCTGTCTGTTTGGTCTTCTTGCTGTCTGGCCTCTCCGTACGGCCGTCCTCCTGTGGCTTCCTCCGCTTCCCCCCCACCACCTCAGAAAACACACCCTGGTGGAGAAATGACATCCTGATTAGTCATATGATACTACTTTGTCTGTGGTGGTGCTACGCACCATTGTTGATTAGCAATGGAACACATACATGCTAGATGGATACTCAGTAGTGCTAACCTGAAGGTCCTCCTCTTCACTGTCCTCCTGGTCTGCTGTGTGGTGTGTGGAGGGTAGGGGAGTGACAGGAACGTGATACCTGCCCTCTGCAGCCAGAACCTCCTTCTTCTGTGTGAACCTATCCACCAGCCGCATGTCCCTGGTACGCTTCGCTCGCATTACCACGCTGGCGTTGGTCTTGCTGTTCGAATTGATCTCAAAGATCGTCTGGAGAAAAAGTGCCATGGTTGTTTAAAACAGTATTACTAACGGTTATTCATTCATTATAGAGAATAGCTTCCAATATGCATTTTCAATCCAAACTCACAGCTCTAGCCTTGTAGCCCTTAATGCAGTCCACCATTTGAAGGCGCTCCAGTTCCATTTTCTCCAAGCCTGACCCTGGCAATAGACAAATGAAATGTGGGTTAATATCTTAGCAAGCGTAAGGGAGCGTCTGTGTGGGATTTTTATGAGAGAACATTAAATCTGATGAGGATCCATTGAGACAGAAACTTCATTGATTAACATCACAACTTTAAGGACCATCTGCAGCGCACTGGAAAGACCATTCTGTTAACAGGTCAGTCATCCTACTGACCTAACAGTGGGTGGACAGCCATGCTGGGGAGCTCTGTGTTCTTGACCCGTTTAAAGGACTCTGGTGAGGGCATGGGCCGGGATTTGATGTACTGCTTGTAGGCGTTGTCCGCTATTCGGCGCAGGTTCTGCAGGTCATGAGAGTTCTCATGGGCCGTGATCAGCTGGGATTCCTCATCATCCAGGATGCTCTGGGGAACACGACCAAACACACCGTCTGACTCTGGACGGAGGGAAGAAGGGAGAGAAAGATATTAAGCAGGAGATGGAGAAAGAGAGTGTTAGAAACAGACTCCTCACAGGTCCTCAACTGGCAACTTCATTAAATAGTACCCGCAAAACACCAGTCTCAACGTCAACAGTGAAGAGGCGACTCCAGGATGCTGACCTTCTAGGCAGAGTTGCAAAGAAAAAGCCTTATCTCAGACTGCCCATTTTAATATTTTACTTTTATTGGCCAGTCTGAGAATTTTCTTTTTTATGTCTGAGAGTAAGCAAGAGAATTGAGTACCTATGACAGAAAACAAGTTTGAACAGACAACTGCAGGGGTAAGCAATGGCTCCATTCCCTCATACTGTGTATGACATGTTTCGCCCAGTGCTGGTACCTTGTTGGTGGTCAGGTGTAGCCAGCTGAAGGGGTCTCCCCAGGAAGAGATGGAGGTCATAGACAAAAGGTATCTCATCTGTAGACACCAGGCTATAGGCTGCGCCACCGCGGCCTGCGCGCGCCACTCGACCTGATGTTGAAAAGGCAGAGATGAGCCAACAGTCAATGGTGAGGAAGGCACTATATTTCATTGATTCAGATGGTTTTGTCATTGGCCTTTCTGTCCCAAGTACATAAATGACAAGTCAAGATAACCTAAAACATCACCACAATTAATGGTCAACATGCTGGTCAACTGTTTGAATTACCCACCGACTCTGTGCAGGAAAAGTTTGGCCTTGGAGGGGAAGTTGTAGTTGATGACATTGTCCAGCAGGGGGATGTCTATACCGCGAGCAGCCACGTCTGTCACGATCAACACCATGGCCTTGCGGTGAACAAATTTACCAATGTTGATCTTCCTGGCAGTCTGGTCCAGGGCACTGTAGATGTAGGCACACTCCACACCCTCAGAGGACAGCAGCTAAACATAGGGTAACACAAAGAGTTAGAGTCTAAAAAAGGCTGAGGACAACCAAACCTTCCATTAGTTTACCCTTTTATTCACGTGGGTCTCACCTCTTTGAGGTACTCGACATGGTGTTTGGTGGCAACAAAGACCACCGTCTGCTCCTGAGGCTTCGCCACGTTCCTCAGCAGGTGGAGAAGCAGAGCCGGCTTATCATCCATCCTCAGGTGGAAGAACGACAGCTGGGAGAGGAGAAAATGCAATGTTATGCTTCAACTTTTATATTAACTAATTGAATTAATCACAGGTTTCACATGTCGCATTCAACTGGGTCAAACAAACTTCACATTTTGTGACTGTGTTTTAGCGAGTCCTTTAGCTTTACCTTCAGCAGCTCACTCAGCTTGGAATCCACGTCCAGACGAATCAGCACTGGCTCCGTCAACCCTACACAAAACACAACCCGTATAGAGCACTACACATCTTGCCTCGTACACAACTCATTATCAAAAGGTTGCACAAGAAGGCAGAGGTTGTGGGTGGGCTTACCAGCTCTAGCAAACTCCACCAGCAGTTTGGGCAGGGTGGCAGAGAACAGCAGTGTCTGTCTGTTGTCTGGGAGCCTCCGGATGATCTCCTGGAGCTGGTCGGCAAAGCCCATCTCAAACAGCCTGTCAGCCTCGTCAAACACAACGTACTCCACGCTCTGTAGCTTCAGGTTCATCTCCATGACAACGTGCATCAGACGACCTGGGGTACCGATAATTCTGTAGGCAGAAGAGATAACTCAAATCTACAGCAGAGAACAACAAAACATAACCTTATCATTGTTGAAAATTGCATTATGGCAAATTACAGCAGTACATTGTGAAGGCCATTGTGTACATACATGTCCGGGTTCTCATGAAGTGCAGCAAACTGATCATCCATTCTGAAAATAAACAAGAGGTTCAAATCAAATTGTATGTCACATGCGCCGAATTCAACTGGTGTAGACTTTACCGTGAAATGCTTGCTTACAAGCCCTTCCCAACAATGCAGTTTAAAAAATAAAAAAAGTAATAGTAACACGAGGAATAAAATTAAAAACACAAGAATGGAGCTATATACAGGGAGTACCAGAACAATGTGCAGGGGTATGAGGTATTTGAGGTAGATATGTACATGAAGGCAGGGTAAAGTGACTAGGCATCAGGATAGATAATAATACAAATAAAATAAAGAACAGAGTAGCAGCAGCAAATTAGTAAAGTGTGTGTGCGAATGTGTGTTGTGTCGGTCTGTGTGCATATGTAGTGTATGTGAATGTGTGTGGGAGTGTTTTGTGTGGGAGTGAGTGTGTATATGGTTTGTAAATATAGTCTAGTGAGTGTGCGTAGGGTCAGTGCAAGATAGAGTCAGTGCAGATAATTTGGGCACCATTAGTTGACTATTTAACAGTCTCATGGCTTGGGGGTAGAAGCGGTCTCGGAGCCTGTTGGTCCGAGAGCCGATGCTTCGGTACTGTTTGCCGGACAGTAGCAGAGTGAACAGTTTATGGCTTGGGGAGGCTAAAGTCTTTGGCAATTTTTCAGGCCTTCCTCTGACACCGCCTGATATAGAGGTCCAGGATGGCAGGGAGCTCAGCAGTGTCGTGGAGGTGTTGTTGCCTACCCTCATCACCTGGGGCCGGCCCGTTAGGAAGTCCAGAATCCAGTTGCTGAGGTTCAGTCCCAGGGTCCCTAGCTTGGTGATGAGCTTGGAGGGGACTATGGTGTTGAACACTGAGCTGTAGTCTATGAACAGAATTCTCACATAGTTATTTCTCCTCTTGTCCAGGTGGAAGAGGGCAGTGTGAAGTGCAATTGAGATTGCGTCATGTGTGGATCTGTTGGGGCGGTATGCAAATTGGAGTGGGTCTAGGGTGTCTGAGATGATGGTGTCATGTCCAGCCTTTCAAACCAGTTCCTAATTACAGATGTGAGTGCTACAGGGCGATAGTCATTTAGGAAGGTTACCTTGGAGCTATTGGGGAACAGGGACAATGGTGGTCAGCTTGAAACATGTTGGGATTAGACTGGGACAAGGATAGATTGAAAATGTCTGTGAATACACTTGCCAGCTGGTCTGCGCATGCTTTGAGAATGTGCCCTGTCCTCCCGAGTGGCGCAGTGGTCTAAGGCACTGCATCGCAGTGCTAGCTGTGCCACTAGAGATCCTGGTTCGAATCCAGGCTCTGTCGTAGCCGGCCGCGACCGGGAGACCCATGGAGCGGCGCACAATTGGCCCAGCGGTGTCCAGGGTAGGGGAGGGAATGGCCGGCAGTGATGTAGCTCAGTTGGTAGAGCATGGCGTTTGCAACGCCAGGGTTGTGGGTTCGATTCCCACGGGGGGCCAGTATGAAAAATAAAAAAATAATGTATGCACTCACTAACTGTAAGTCGCTCTGGATAAGAGCATCTGCTAAATTACTAAAATGTAAAAAAAGAAAAATGTATTCCGTCTGGCACAGTGGCCTTGTTCAATTGATGCTTGTAAGGACAATAACACATTTAAAACACAACAAGACTGAAGATGTAATTAATACCTGTCTCCACCAAGGATCAAAGCTGTCTTAAGGCCGGTGAATTTTCCCAACTGAAATACAATAAAGGGAATATAGTTACTATTTGCTGTTACTGACCAAAACAACATACTATCCCTGAAAAATCAAAGATTAGCCCGTTTACATACAAATATGTATATTATATTGTAAAGTGATGTTGACCTCTTTGGTGAACTTCATGGTTTGCAGTGCCAACTCTCTGGTGGGGGTCAGAATTAGAGCCCTGGCCCCCGTCTGGGCCTGGGGGACCTTCAGCTTCTCAAACATGGGCACCAAGAACGCAGCAGTCTTTCCGCTGCCTGTCCTTGCCATGGCAACCATGTCCTTGCCATCTAGAATCACGGGGATAGTCTGAGAGGGAGAGAGGTCTCATAAACAATCAACCTGATATATTAGTGAAAGATCTAAGGGCACTGGCATACCTTTCTCTGGATTGGAGTAGGGACTTTGTAGCCCTTCTTCATGACTCCTTTAAAAACGGGGTAACTGAGACCTGCAATTAACAAAAGATGGCTGTTACGACATACTCAGGACACATTGCTATATAACACGTCAAACTCATTCCACGGAGGGCCGAGTGTCTGCTGGTTTTCGCTCCTTCCTTGTTGTTGATTGATGTATTCATTCTCTAGAATCTAAGACGTTGGTATGGATCCCCACCACACCACATGGATCATTTAGCCATTTGATTTTGAAATGTAGGACCCAGTGGCAAAATAATATATGATTGTTTTGTTGATAAAATATTGCAGTTTGGCCTTTAGTACCAAATCCCATAGAAACGCATTGAATAACACCACATTCATGAATGGCAAAAGAGATGTATTATACGGAATAAGGTTTTGATGCATGTCCTATATCTAGGAGATATAAGAAAGCTCAGGAAACACAGTACCAGTCAAAAGTTTGGACACATACTCATTCAAGGGTTTTTCTTTATTTTTACTATTTTCTACATTGTAGAATAATAGTGAAGACTTCAAAACGTTGAAATAACACATATGGAATCATGTAGTAACCAAAAAAGTGTTAAACAAATCAAAATATATTTTATATTTGAGATTCTTCAAATAGCCACCTTTTGCCTTTATGACAGCTTTGCACATTCTTGGCATTCTCTCAACCAGCTTCACCTGGAATGCTTTTCCAACAGTCTTGAAGGAGTTCGCACATATGCTGAGCACTTGTTGACTGCTTTTCCTTCAATCTGCTGTCCGACTCATTCCAAACCATCTCAATTGGGTTGAGATCAGGGAATTGTGGAGGCCAGGTCATCTGACGCAGCACTCCATCACTCTCCTTCTTGGTCAAATAGCCCCTACACAGCCTGGAGGTGTGTTGGGTCATTGTCCTGTTGAAAAACAAATGATAGTCCCACAAAGCCCAAATCAGATGGGATGGCGTATCGCTGCAGAATGCTGTGGTAGCCATGCTGGTTAAGTGTGCCTTGAATTCGAAATAAATCACAGACGGTGTCACCAGCAAAGCACCCCCACACCATAACACCACCTCCTCCATGCTTTACGGTGGGAACTACACATGCGGAGATCGTCCGTTCACCCACACGTCTCACAAAGACACAGCGGTTTGAACCAAAAATCTCCAATTTGGACTCCAGACTAAAGGACAAATTTCCACCGGTCTAATGTCCATTGCTCGTGATACTTGGCCCAAGCAGGTCTCTTCTTCTTATTGGTGTCCTTTAATAGTGGTTTCTTTGCAGCAATTCGACCATGAAGGCCTGATTCACACAGTCCCCTCTGAACAATTGATGTTGAGATGTGTCTGTTACTTGAACTATGTGAAGCATTTATTTCAGCTGCAATTTTTGAGGCTGGTAACTCTAATGAATTTATCCTCTGCAACAGGGGTAACTCTGGTTCTTCCATTCCTGTGGCGGTCCTCATGACAGCCAGTTTTATCATAGCGCTTGATGGTTTTTGCGACTGCACTTGAAGAAACTTTAAATGTCCTTGAAATGTAGTAATGATGGACTGTCATTTCTCTTTCCTTATTTGAGCTGTTCTTGCCATAATATGGACTCTGTCTTTTACCAAATAGGGCTATCTTCTGTATACCTCCCCACCTTGTCACAACAGAACTGATTGGGTCAAACGCATTAAGGAAAGAAATTCCTTAAATTCATTCACTTTTAAGAAGGCACACCTGTTAATTGAAATGCATTCAAGGTGACTACCTCATGAAGGTGGTTGAGAGAATGCCAAGAATGTGCAAAGCTGTCATCAAGGCAAAGGATGGCTATTTGAAGAATCTCAAATATAAAATATATCTTGATATGTTTAACACTTTTTTGGTTACTACATGATTCCATGTGTGTTATTTCATAGTTTTGATGTCTTCACTTTTATTCTACAATGTAAAAAATATTTAAAATAAAGAAAAACCCTTGAATGAGTAGGCGTGTCCAAACGTTCGACTGGTAGTGTATATATATATTTTTTAATTACACATATTTAACAAAAAAAAATTTGGGGGGGTAGGCACAAAACTACCTCCACATTTCCATTAATTTATTTTACCTGTACCGGTTACCTTCTGATGAGTCACTGTAGCTTAAACTGGTGGATTTTGATGGGGATTTTTTTGTATTATATAACTTATAGACGCACCGGTGTGTCAATAGACTCTACGGGGTAAGGTCACTCATTAGTAAGGAACTCCCCCTCACCTGGTTGTCTAGGTCTTAATTGAAAGGGAAAAACAAAAACCTGTACTAGGCCCTCCATGGAATGAGTTTGACACCCCTGTTGTATAACATCTGTAAGTGTCTTACAAAGATGGCCTTCAGATAAGCCTACTCAAATTTCTCACCCATGGACTGGAAGCCCCCAGACTTCTTTTTCTTCTTGTTCTGAGCTCTGACCAGCTCCCTTGTGTCTGGTTCAACATCAGACAGACACTCTGATGAAGCACCAGGGAACCGGGGTAACTTTCTTCCATGCTGAAAAACACATGCATTGTATGAAATACCATGACATTGTCATTATGGGGACTGAAACTCATAATCATCTCCCACTCAAATCCAAATCTAGCGCTACTTTAAAAGCTAGTATCCTTAGTTGCTACATCCATTTTGGACTTGTAAATTAATTACATTGTAGCGATCCTCGCTATATGCACCTAGTTACAATTCCGACCAAGTGGGTTAACCCTATTGGCGCGATGTGCAGGGTGTTTGCCTTTTACGCCAGAGACCCGGGATTGCGTTCCCGCTCGCTACACTAGTGTCAGAAGTGGGATGGCGCCGTGAGTCCATCGGAACGCACGGTCGGACGCGTGAAGGGCCTTGAACGAATGTCGAAGCACGGGGACGTGGGTTCCCATTCGGATTACGCGCTAGCTATATTAGTCACATGACGGTTCCCACCAAGTGGGTTAGCGCGATGCGTAGAGTATTTGCCTTTCATGCCAGAGACCCGGGTTCACTTCGCTACAATATAACGTTATACCCATTGATTATTGCAGAATATAACTTATAAATGCATGTCGTACCGCATCAGAACCGAAAATATAAGCTTGTTTTACTCCAATTTTAGTAAACGTAAACAAACACTGTATAGCCTCAACACATGGTTAAAACGATGTGATATTATGGATGATCTATCCTTGCATCCATAGCTATGTCTATGAATTTGAGTGATTACATTTCTCCAGCCTCATTCCTTAGCGAAACCGGGGTGGGGAGCACGCTCTCTTATTGTTTCAATTAGGATTCTAGCTTTAATAATGGTTCATGTAATTGACCATAAATCAATTCTAGGCCTAACGTTACGCAAAGCCCCACAACAGGAAAACCCTGCACACAAGTTGACATCCACCGCTAATTGCCTAGTTAGCATGTTAGCTAGCAGAGGGTTAGCAACTAGCTAAGTAAATTCATAGCAGGTAGATTTACATACGTTTGCTCAAATGACTACAGCAAATTGTTTACCTAGCTACAATAACAGAAAAATGAAATGGTTCTTACAGAATCATCGTCCCTAATTTTAACAGCAACTTCGAAATCTCCACCATCCGACTCGTCAGGCTCCCGGTGGCCAGTCTGTCTCTTTTTCTTAGTTAGCTTCTTCTTTCTTTGAGCCATTGTGATTAGTATCAGCACTTTTTATACTTTTTCAACACTTTGAACTAGTTAGAATAATAAAAAAACGATTGGTGCTAAAAAAAAAAAAAATGAACAGCTCAGCACACGACAACAACACAGACGGCAGACATTTTGAAACACGTGCGATTATGCACGCAAGACTCGTGCGTCGGCGCATGATATGACGTCTTGTGTTTTTCTTGTGAGTTGTATCACAGAGTTTCTGAACGCGGAGGCGTAACATCGCGAGACTTCCGGGAACGCTTGCGAAACAGAACAGGCCTGGGTTTGGGGTTTGAGAAGTCATGACCCCCCCCCCACATTCTAAAATTGCATTTTGACGACCCAGTTTTATCATTGCACAATGATACAAAAAATGGCCTCGATGTGCTTTAGGACCATGCAGACTCCTCAGAGGGGCAGTTTTAAAGAGTGGATTTAGGACTGCGGGGACACCACAGAGCGTGCAGACAGGCTGTGTGAAGGCAAAGCTTCTGAAAGGCTGCCTTAAAGGCGCTGCATGGTCAATCCGATGTCAGCATTGGCCCTGCAGCATTTATGGTGATAAGGCCTCTGCAGAAGTCAGGGCATTCCAGTGGTTGGGGCATTCATACTACAGTCGTGGTCAAAAGTTTTGAGAATGACACAAGTATTGGTCTTCACAAAGTTCGCTGTTATGTGTCATGATATATTTTTGTCAGATGTTACTATGGTATACTAAAGTATAATTACAAGCATTCCATAAGCGTCAAAGGCGTTTATTGACAAGACCTCTGCAATCCGCCCTGGCATGCTGTCAATTAACTTCTGGGCCACATCCTGACTGATGGCAGCCCATTCTTGCATAATCAATGCTTGGAGTTAGTGGGTTTTTGTTTGTCCACCCGCCTCTTGAGGATCGACCACAAGTTCTCAATGGCATTAAGGTCTGGGGAGTTTCCTGGCCATGGACCCAAAATGTCGTCACCAAACTGTTCTTGGATGGTTGGGAGAAGTTGCTCTCGGAGGATGTGTTGGTACCATTCTTTATTCATGGCTGTGTTCTTAGGCAAAATTGTGAGTGAGCCCACTCCCTTGGCTGAGAAGCAACCCCACACATGAATGGTCTCAGGATGCTTTACTGTTGGCATGACACAGGACTGATGGTAGCGCTCACCTTGTCTTCTCCGGACAAGGTGTTTTCCGGATGCCCCAAACAATCGGAAAGGGGATTCATCAGAGAAAATGACTTTACCCCAGGCCTCAGCAGTCTAATTCCTGTACCTTTTGCAGAATATCAGTCTGTCCCTGATGTTTTTCCTGGAGAGAAATGGCTTCTTTGCTTCCCTTCTTGACACCAGGCCATCCTCCAAAAGTATTCGCCTCACTGTGCGTGCAGATGCACTCACACCTGCCTGCTGCCATTCCTGAGCAAGCTCTGCACTGGTGGTGCCCCGATCCCGCAGCTGAATCAACTTTAGGAGACGGTCCTGGTGCTTGCTGGACTTTCTTGGGCGCCCTGACACCTTCTTCACAACAATTGAACCTCTCTCCTTGAAGTTCTTGATGATCCGATAAATGGTTGATTTAGGTGCAATCTTACTAGCAGCAATATCCTTGCCTGTGAAGCCCTTTTTCTGCAAAGCAATGATGACGGCACGTGTTTCCTTGCAGGTAACCATGAGGAAGAACAATGATTTCAAGCACCACCCTCCTTTTAAAGCCCCCAGTCTGTTATTCTAACTCAATCAGCATGACAGAGTGATCTCCAGCCTTGTCCTCGTCAACACTCTCACCTGTGTTAACGAGAGAATCACTGACATGATGGCAGCTGGTTCTTTTGTGGCAGGGCTGAAATGCAGTGGAAATGTGTTTTTGGAATTAAGTTAATTGCCATGGCAAAGAGGGACTTTGCAATTAATTGCAATTCATCTGATCACTCTTCATGACATTCTGGAGTATATGCAAATTGCCATCATCAAAACTGAGGCAGCAGACTTTGTGAAAATTAGTATTTGTGTCATTCTCAAAACTTTTGACCATGACTGTACATGTAACGTTAGCTATTGTTTCATCCCCTCTTGACTGAAGTGCTGTCTGAAGAGAATGAACTAGCTAGCTAGCTAGTAACAACCACAGCCAATTCAGTTCTAGCCATCTGTCAGGTAGCGGTATCTAACAGCTGTTGTGTGTATGGAAATGTTTTGTAGCCTTTTTGTCCCATTTCAACATAAGTAAATTAACTTGGCTAGTTTTCGCCATTTGATGTACCATTAGAGCTAGCCAAAAACGTTAGCTAGCTAGCTCACAAACTTTAGCTATTATTTTTGCTCAATCACACTAGACCTGAATCGAACAATGTAAACAGCGGCCAAAAGATTGAAGACCGATATTCTGAAGTTTTTTGACAACGCATTGTGAGTTTTTATTAGTCAGTATAGCAATGTAACATTATTGATCTGTCAGTTTCCCTAGCTAATTCCCTACTTTTCACACTGACACGGTATAAACAGCTCTACAGGCTGTCATGGTGCACAGTCAGTACACAACACTATGCTCATCATGTCTTCGCAGAATCAGATGGTGACAGGTGTCCCTGCAGGGTCAGACAACCAGGGAAGACTAGTCTACGGAGCTCAGGTGAATTCTGTAGTATATTATAACAATCAGTGAATGGATACAAAGTTCCATCTTCAATTGATGGGTAGGCTACAGTCTGGGATGTGGGAATAATGGTAATTTCAATTATTGAACCATTAGTTCTATTCTTGGATAATATCATGTATAATTGTACACCAAGGTAATTATTTGTGAGCAGGATCAGATGGTTGACAGAGGTCTCAGCAGGGTCAGGCAACCAGGGAAGACCAGTCTGTGACGGCACTGAGGTGAACTTTTGCAAATACAACACTTTATTCTCTCTGTGCCACGAACACTTGACAAGCCAGAATCTTCGAAGATTTAAACTGTATCAAGGGTTGATAGAGGCTTTTCCCGATGACACAAAACATGCCAAATAAAAATATGAGGAAGACCTAAGAGACACTATTGATGATGAATGGATACAGATGTTTGAATGCCCAGTCATGTTCATATAATCTCAGGCATAAATTACTGCAGTTTAAGACCATCCATAGAACATACTATATGCCAGTGAAACTGAATATCATGCACTCAAATATAATTCCTCTGCTGGAGGTGTAAAACACAAAAGGGGACATACTGTATTTGCATATGTTATGATCTTGTAAAGGCTGGCTGAATTCTGGCAAAGAGTATGTTCTTTTATTTCAGCATGTCTACTGATTCGCCCTTCTCCCTGTATTTGTTTGCTTGGAAATGTTGATACCGGAGACTGTCATCAGAAGAAACTGTGTAACCTAGCATTTATAGCGGCTAAGAAATGAATTTCCATTAATTGGAAGGTTGGTTATCCTCCCACAATGTCACAATGGATGGCAGAAATGTCAGGTTATGTATCACTAGATTTGATGTATTACAATATTAAGGGTATACTGTGCAACTTTCATAAGGTCCGGGTGCCTTACATGGAATACTGTATGACAAAAGGGTTCTGTATTGAAAACATGAGATTTTTTTAGTCAAGCAGTCGCAAAGAAAATGAATGGCGCCTGTCTCAGTGGACTAATCCATTTAGGAGACTGCAGGGATGCCACAGTCCAAGAATATGGGGATTGTAGCTCAGATGCACAAGGCACGTCTCTCTCCAGAAGGCGCCATTTCGTGGGTATTCATTGTTTCATAACTTCTTTGTGTGCATTGTTTGCTGTCTATCAATTCCCCATTACATATATCACCAGTAGTAGCCTAAAGTTACCGTAACATTTTTGTTTGGTTACGGTAATTTATCTTAATGCATTCAATATATTATTATTACAGTCATTTACACGTTTTTGTTTATTTCATTCCATTTACGAGTTTTGTCAATTTATTAATCGTCTTTTGTTTGAAACGCTCCTGTCAATGGTGAGTAAGGACTCGCACCTGATTATGCATATAGAAGTAGGACTAGTCTACCTGTCCTGCGCGCAAATGTAGGCCTATAAATGTGCCCATTTGGGGATGTCTGATAGTATTTCAGATTGTCTTAACTCACCACCACAAATGAGCTGTGGAGCTTCTCAAAGTAATCTTTCTTCACTTCCAACAGCAAGTAAACAAAGTCTGTTTTTACAATCAACTGAGAATGTCTGCTAAATGGCATATTATAATTATTATATTATAGAATGACAATAGTTCCTCAAAGTATTTGACCAATATTTCCAGCTCTCTCCCTTTCGATAACCACTCGGCAAATAGACTACTCTGACCAAGATTTTTCATAGTCGGGGACAGCCCTAGTAGAAATGTAGGAAATTAGCTTTAGAGTCCACAACAAATTGAGGGAGGACCCCCAGACCCCACACCAGGTTATGTCCCCCCCACTTCTAAAACCAAAGTTGTGTCCCTGAATTTAAAATCATGTGCCATTAGATACTTGGCTGATACAGTGAATTAATTAAAAAACATAGTCCTTAGATTACACTATTATATTATGTATGTACAGCAAATTGACCTCAATAGATCTAGAGGTGTTGTGTTGGTCAATGGCACAGTTCTCATTTGAAATCAAAAGAGAAACAGCAAAAAAGAATAGGTGAGCTGAGTAGACTGGACAGCATCTCTCTGGAAATCAAGTAAAAGGGTGGAGCGAAAACCAGCAGACACTCAGCCCTCCGTGGAATGAGTTTGACATATGGTGTAGACACCTCTGTTTTCAATAACTTTCAATACCTCACCTTGCGAGGATAACTACACTGAGCCTTTTTCCACTGGTGTGCATGGCCAAAAAGCTATATTTTCATGTCATCCAATAAATGTAAACACCTGGAGTTTGCTGAACCGCATTGGCACTTGGATTGGAACTGGTGCTTTGGTCAGATGACATGAAAATAGAGCTCTTTGGCCAAACACAAGTGGTGGGTTTGGCGTTGAAATGAGAATGCATGAGCAGAAAATAACCCCATACCTACTGTAAAATATGGTGGTGGATCTTTGATGTTATGGGGCTATTTTGCTTCCACTGGTCCTGTGGCCCTTCTTAAGGTCAACCGCATCATGAACTTTACCCAGTACCAGGATATTTTTTGCCAAACACCTGGTTGCCTCTGCCTTGAGGCTGAAACTTGGACGCAAGTGGAT